ATAATAAACTGACCCGATTGGAAAATTGGGCCACTACCATGCGAACAAAATGATCATACGGAAATATGAATATGAGAAGAGGCCACAAATAGTAGTGGTGGGCCTATTGACCCATGTAAATTGCGTTGGGCCTAGGCCTTGACATGGCTAGGTGCCAGTGCCATGTTCTGCATGTGCTCCAAAAGGCTATGGCTGCTATTTTAAACATTTCTAAATCGCAGCCTTGTTTAGACTTAGAGATTTCTTAATCTCTTCCTAATTTAACTTTTGTTTCTTAATTTCACCATGCAGGGCACTTTTAGGGACAGGTAGGTGATGGGTTGTTGTTGCATAAAATGGTGCCACGTGCACGATGACTTGGCCACATGCAATTTCATAGGCATCACCCATATTACTCAAGGAAACAAAAATTTTTCCATAGTTTTTAATGTAAATTTTTTTCAACTTCGTTTTATATATAGTAAGTACACAATTTTAGTTGACGTGGGGATGAGAAGAATTTGAATATAAAACTTTTTACAATTTCAGTCTGTTTTTAAGGTTTCATAAGCAACTTTTTATATTTAATTTCTTTTTTTTATATAAAAAAAAAAAGGTGAAACAAATATAAATGAGATTGAAAAGAAAATTAAATTACTTTTACATTACTCCCTTTATCGTAAAATAATTATCATTTTTTTTTTACTTTGGGTTTGTCCCAAATTAATTGTTGTTTTTTAATTGTTTAAGGTAAACACATTTTTTTTAATTTTAACCCTATCAATATCTATTTATTTTAATTAATTATTCTATCACAAAATATCACTTTGTATTTTAGTTTTTAATGATAATATAAATAATTATATAAATTATTTTTAAAATTTTAATTTATAAAAATAAATTAAAAAATAACAATTATTTTAAGTTAGAAGAAGTACAAATTTTGATTTTCATGAATGAAGGGGAATTTTGTGAGCCTATCAGGCCCAGAAGGTTCCGTGAACCGGTCTAAACCACAAGGCCCTCACTTGCGTTTGCCAATCCAAAGTCCAAACCACCGTATTAGATTCAGCCCATAAAACTAAAAGGTCGAAACTTGGATGGGCCTCAAGACTAGGCGCCCGTTTCACACTCGATGATGGTCGTGGAAATTTTAACGAGTGTTATGTCGCCGTCACATCGAAGCAGTTGTGTTAGGGTTAGAGAAAATTATAAATGGTTGCTTGTATACATGCTGAAATATTTGTTTGAATCTACTATAATTTATGCAAGAAAAAGAAAGTATCAACTTATATTATAAAAAATTAAAAAAAATTAAAATTATGT